TGTTTGAGTCTATCTAAGCCCAAGCCTCCCAGTCTCATGGCTCAGGCTATGACAGCAGAATCTTGCAACAAGTGCTATCAGTACCTCTCTCAGTCCAATGCAGGTGTTTGGGATGCTAAGATTCAGGATGACAGTGTTCAATGTTGTCACCATCATCTGCACCATCTTCTCTTTCTTTCTTATTTAAGTCTTGTGCCTGCTTGACAAACTCCCTACCCCTGAGGTATACTCCTAGCACTCTTTATGCTTTTTGTTATTGAGACAGGATCTTTCTAAGCTGCCCGGGTTCTTCTTGGACTTGCTCTGTAGATCAGATTGGCCTCAGATTCACAATCCTCCTGCCACTGCCTTCCTGGCAGCTGGCATTACAGGCCTGCATCAAAGTGCAGGCTATTTTTTGTTTTATAAAAGTCTCCATTCCCAGTTAGGAAGAGCACCCATGATTGGCAGGAAGTCATTGGGCTTGGAGAAAAGACAGGGCGGGGTGTGAAAGGAGAGAATCTTTGGGTGAGGAAGCTGGCAGAGCTGGTTTGAGAAGGCCAATGTAGAGTAGGCAAAGCAAGATTCAGTAACTTTGTTCCTTGATCTCCATTTTCCAGAGCCCATCCCCACTGTGCCCATTCAGTCTGGCCCTCTTTCCCATATAATCAGTCTCTCCTGAGGACTCTTTCCTATTCACCTCTCTGTCAATCACTGATCTTCCAGGAGCTTGCCATCACGGAAGAAAATCAGTTTGGTCATTCTCTCTGTAGATAGGATGTTGTGAAATATTCCTCTCACTCGGGAGGCAGGAGTTGGGTGGGAGTGGATGTCAATGCATCAGCAGGCTTGGAGGCTCAGCTTTGGGCTAGTGGTGCCTCTGAGCAGATGTTTGGGTTCTCAGTCCACTTTGTCCATCAGGACTTACCTGGACTCTCCTGGAGGCGTGCTCTCTAGGGTGGGTATCCATGCTGAGCACAGTCCAGAGGGATTATGCAAAGCTGATTGCCCCCTCCAAGGAAAATCTCTACATATTGTTCTGTTTTACTTAAAAAACAAAGCAAAACAAAACAAAAAACCAAAGCGCGTGGGGGGGGGGGGGCAAAGCAAAATGAAACACCTCTTCTACATCCTAAGTGCTTTGGAGATCAACAAAAACAGCCCAGCAGGTTCTGGAAGCCCAAACAACTCCTTTTACACCTTAATTCTTTTTCATAATGGCTGCTCATATTAATACCTTGAAAAAATTACCACAGCAAACAGCTTCTTTGTTGAATTAGCTACATCACCTGCACTGCGTGGAATGCTTTGTTTAGTGCTGGGCCTGTTTAGGACCCATCAAAGAACTCTTTCTGGCTCTGATGTCTCTGTCCAGAGACAAAACACCTTATCTCTGAAGTTCTTCCTAGGCTCTGCCTTAGTGATTAGAATATTATGGACACACTTGACCATTCTCTTGGAGGGTGTGTAATGTCTTAATTACTTTTCTATTGCTGTGAAGATACCCCAGAACCAAGGCAACTCATAGAAGAAAGAGTATAGAGGGGGCTGGCTTACAGTTTCTGAGGGTGAGTTCATGACCATCATGGTGGGGTGCATGGCAGCAGGCAGGCAGGCATGGCACTGGAGTAGGAGTGGAGAGTTTAAATGTTGAGACAACAACTATGAAGCAGAGAGAGAGAGAGAGGGCAGAGGGCTAAATAGCATGAGATTTTTAAACCTCAAAGCCCATCCCCAGTGATATACCTCCTCCAGCCCCAGTCCTTCCCAAACTGTTCTACCAATGCATCCCAGGCATTTATATATTTCCAGCAACTGATTGACAGCCAATGCTGTTGCCATAGGATGAGATGTGAAATGACGCTGGCATTAATGTCGTTAAGCAATACTGTGAGTTCTAAGTCCCCCCCCCCCCGACGTGAGTCTGGTAGATAATGATGAATTAATGGAAGTAAAATACGAAACAGGTCAGATCTGAAGAAGGGAGAGAGGACCAGAAGGAAGAGGAGAGGAGGAAACATTGTTTGAGTTCATCCTTATATCTACACAGCTTCATGTTAAAGCTCATAAAGCATATACTTACCATCAGAGTCAGCTTAGTAACTTGCAAGAGGTTGTAAAGGTTGGAAATGGATGAGTAGTTAAAATTCAAATGTCTCCAATCTCAGATCCTGCGCTCTGACTTAGTGCATGTGTTAAAGCCAGGTGAGAAGGTAGTAGGCGCTACTATCAGGTGACTGATTTCAGCAGGTGGAGGGAGAAGGGACATTTCAGCAGGAGGCAGTGTCAGAGTCAAGGTGGAAGCTGACAAGTGCAGGGTGTGTTTAGAGCATAGTGGAAGCACCTGCCAAGCTGGGGTGCAGAACAGTTTTGTGTCTATAACCTGACCTTTGATATTTTAGGTTTCTATGGAGTGGAAATAACACTGAAAAGGCTATTCCGAGGATTAAATGAGACAAAGCACCTGGCAGAACCCCTGGCACTCCATAAACGGTAGTCCATTCATCTGTTCAACAGCTATTTCCAAAATGTCTATTATATATCAGCAGGATGTGGGGGAGGGACCTGTCTAACTCATGCTAACCCGGTCCTTGCCCTTGTGCAGTTTGTGTTCTATATGGGAAAAGTGGAATTAGGTCATGTATTACCCAGTTTAATAACAACAGAAAGAAGGGTTTCGAGAGCCGTATGAAGTGAGAGAACCTTTACAGCAAGGAGGAGGATGAGCTCTGAGGGATGAATGGGAATCAGCGAGCCAAGGAAAGTGAGTCTCCCCACTGCAATCATGTGCACACATGCATGCACGTCATGCATGTGCGCATGCATTCAGATCATGTTATAATTTGTCTCTAACAATGAAAAGTCATGGAGGATTTAGCAAGGGAGTGATATGCTTATTATTGGATTACTGGGATGTTCCTGATGCTAAACTGTGAGAGGGTAACCAGCTCTCAGATCAGGAACCACAGAATGGTAGCATCAGTACACATGTTTTACTAAGTTTACCCTCACTGCTACGTGTGTGTGTGTAATTGGCAGGGAGAGGGACAAGGATGAGAGGCCACTTGGAAGTCCATGTCTAGTCATGGGATGATAAAGGCTTGAACTTGAAATTGATGGGTAAAAAGGAATGTGTGGCACACGTTTAAGGAAGGAGTGATAAGACTTTCAAGTTTTATTAGAATTAGTAGATGACAGAAAATGAATCACACACACACACACACACACACACACACACACACACACACACACACACACACACACAAAATGAATAGAAAGTTTGAGACCCGGGTAGTGGTAAGAATGAGGATACTACAGCCTGAAATAGAAAAAGTTGGAGAGGGAAAATGGCCAAAGAAAAAATAAACAGTTTTCATATTCAGCATGTCAAGTCAAGGATGAATGTCCAGAGGAGAATGGGGTACTTTTCATATAGATACAAGAGGTTGCAACTTGAAAATAGGACCTGTTGAGAATGGCCTTGGCCACCATCTCTCAAAGGAAGAGTGGAAACAGGAGTGGATATGGTTGGATGAAGGAAGGGAAAGTGAGACACAGAGCATTAAATGCCACTCCCACCAGGGGGTAGGGATAGAAAGTCAGACAAGCAGAGATGGGAACAGGGTGGGAACAGGCTGGTTGAATATTTAAAATGTCCAGGTCCTACAGAGCCCAACAATGCAAGGAGAGATGCGTGGGCCTGGGGCTAGAGACGGAACCCTGGAGCCCTCAGTGTAGCCCTGGAGTACCTTGTAGTCATGGCACCCGGCTATGCTTAGTTACAAGCCCATTGAGATACACAATGATGAGGCAAATCTCCCTGTCTGGGGAGTGAACATAGCAAGACTTCATACACTCAAAACCTGGTGCACAATGGAAATGTGGGGATTGTTATAAAAACAAAACAAAGCAAAACAAAAAAAAACCCAAAAGACAGATAAAAGTCCTGTTAAAAACTATAGCCTGTAAGAAACTGTAACATGTAACTGTAACAAGTAACAAACCCTTGGTTTGTTCTTTCTTTATCTTTCTCCCCCTGCCATGATGCTGTTCAATCTGTTAATACATGATGTCCTTCAGACAATTACAGACCATCATCATAAGATCATAGGGCCATGCTTTGAGGTGACTTGGCATAGGGGCATGTATTCTGTTCACTGGGTGTTGAATCACCACATAGGGCCCAATAAAGAGGGCAGTGGGTGACTCTAGAGGTCTTGAAGTTCTTATAATGGGACACCCTTGATATCTGGATCAGAGGTGGCCAAACTGTGCCTACCTCAAATGCACTGTAATGTTGCCAGCTTAGGATAGGGATGGATACCCCTGTCCAACCTCAAATGCACTGTAATGTTGCCAGCCCAGGATATGGACGGTTACCTCTGTCTAACCTCGATCAATTTCAAGGGCTGTTCATCCACACATAACTGTTTCCTTGTACTTCCACCCCTGCCTCTGCCAGATCTGGAGGGTGATGATAGCTACTGAAAATGGGGGAGTTTGGGCAGGGTCTAGGTGCCACCAGGTGATGGGGTGCATGGTAAAGAAATCTTGGTTGTATTACAGTGTTCCTTCAGGTTTCAGTTATAAAATAGATATTAAAACTTAATTAGCTGTGAATGGTAGCACATGGCTATAATCCCAGCTCTAGGCAGGTAGAAGAGAAAACATGAATTCAAGGCCAACTTGGGCTATATGAGACCCTGTCTCAAAAAATAAATAAGTAACTAAGAAATATATAGATAGATAAGTCCTTCAGTAATTCAAGATGGCAGTAGTCAAACACTAACTGGTAAGCATGGTGCCCATGTGAGCATGCCAGTCATGTATCCTGAAGCTGGTCTCCTGTGAAAAGGCCACCTTAGAGGCACAGCTGCTAAGGCAGCATTTGGGAAACCCACTCTTCTGTTTCTCCAGCCTTTTGTGTGTGAGTTCCCCAAGCCATTGCAGCTGAGGTTGTTCAAGGAAGTAGGCTACTATCTCCTCCTCCTTCCCTCTCCTAATGCAACACTCAAGTGGGCTCAGGGCCCAGAAGCTCCAGTGCTGTCTTTATTAGGTTTCGGCTTCCTGTCACATCAGCCAAGCCCCACAAGAACAAGAGGAAATCGAAATCAATTTTCCCCAGCAGAGTCCAGACGCCAGCTTCACTGCTGAGGACGGCAGACAGGAGTGTTGGTGTGATGCTGAAACCTTTGAGCTCACTGTAGTGATGATCCTGGTCACCGTGCAGTCAGCAGGCCTGGAGTGCTGGTGACACAGCAGAAGGCCTTTTGTGGGCATCATGCCAGGAAAGTAGAGTGGTAGCCAGTGCTCGTCCTCCATTGGCCCTCATAGTTCCACCCTCAGTGAGTCCATCTCACAACTTCCATTCCCAGGGGCACTGCACAGCTGTAAACATTAACTTGAGTTAGTATGGGGTACAGCACAGTGTGCCCTCTGCTTAGGATCCCTGCCCTCTGAAAACCCAAAAGCCTCCTAGAAAGAGCTCCAGTTAGGGCCTTCAAGAGTCGGGAAAGTGTTGAGTGACCAAATGTCCATGTGTTGCTATCAAAATCATCTATTTGGCCTCTCAGTTCCTAAGAAGGTAGGTTTAACGCTCTGGCACAAAAGGAATCATGAGTAGGCTTCGTTTTCTAACCCTGCAGGTATCCTTGTCCCATTGGTATGCGTCCTATATAAACCCATCAGAGTTGTGGAGTTGAGTTTAGCCTCTGATTCTATGTATAAGTCTGCCTGCAGGGCATCTGATCAGTCTGGAGTGGCTACATAGTGCAGGACTGGTGGGTTGACATAAGGACATAATGCAGGGAAGACGAATGGGAAGCCATTTCCTGGCTGAGGCTTCAGGCAAGAAACCTTCCCTGTGCCTACATTTCCTTATCTATAAAGCTGGCATGCAATCATCAGATTCACACTGTTGGTTTGTGATGGAGGTGAAATGAGTTACTAGGTGAGCATGTAGGAGCAGGGGAAGTAACTCAGTAGGTAAACATAAGGACCTGAGTTCAGTCCTCAGAGCCCATGCAAACCTGCTGAGCATGGCGGTGGACACTTTCCCTCAATGCCAGAGAGACTGAGAGAGACAGACCTTTGGGGCTCACTGGCCAGCCAGTGGAACCTGATTGGTGAGATCCAGGCCAATGAGAAAACCTGACTCAGAGAAGGTTTGCAGCATTCTTGAGGGACACTCAAGATTGTCCTGTGGCCTTTGTATGCACATGATACCCCCCCACATGAACACACACAGATGAACATGTACATGATACCCTCACACACATATGAATACACATGGACACACATGTACATGATACCCCACACACATGAACACACACAGATGAACATGCATATGACATAAAACAACAGCACCAGGAATCTGAAGAGATGACTCAGTATTGACAAGATCACATGCTGTTCTTGCAGAGGATCCTCCAGCTGCGGTTCCCAGCACTCACGTGGAAGACCACAAGCATCTTTAACTCCAGTCCCAGACATCCAATGCCCTCTTCCAGTGTCAAAGGACACCAGGAACACACATGGTGTATTTACATATATGTAGGCAAGTACTCATACACATAAAATAACATAAATAATAATAAAAATATCTGGAGCCATGTCTATTGCCTCATGGGCATCATATTTTATTAAATCATTTGTTGAATATCAGAACTATCTTGAAATTAACCATAAAGCACATTGGAGGAAGATAGTCCAAGTAGTTACAAACAGTAAGAGGGAATTCTAAATCTACAACTTGTGTCTTTAAAGAAACTTTAAGGAAGCTATAATACATAATGTCCAAGAGCTTTTATATTCCTCTTGTCTCACCTCGAACTGTATTCTTTCATCTCACAGCACCTTTAAGAAATTCCGGCCTCTGTACACAGCTCCTTTTCTCTCCTTCTGTGGTGGCCAGACGTCTCATGAATCTCCTGTTCGTATTGTACCCTGGGCACTGAGAGGCCCAAGACTCTACATCACCCTCTGCTTCCATGTTCTCTTCTCTCCAGTGAGTAAGTGAGAATTAAGGCTGATGAAGACACTTTCCTGGAGAACAGCATGACCTTTTGTCAGCTGCCTGGCCCCAGGACCCACTGAACCTCTATTACATTGTTTAGCAACTTCCATCTCATCTTTATTCAGGAAAGATCTGCACTGTGGTCTGTTGGTTCTCCATGGCTTCCAAAGTCCCCAGGAATCTCCTCCCTAACAGCCAAGCATAGTTAATCCCATTTTGTGTCTATCAAGACGACTTGACTGAGTTCCCTTTCCCCTCTTCATTCAGGATATAGATCACTTCTGCCTCTTCAGCTCAGATTTTCTGAGCTCCTTTCACACCAATTAAGCATCATCATGGTGCAGAACCCAGGGTACACTGAGATGGTCTCAGAGATCTACAGCAGGTGAGAGGCTGAGCTGTGACAACAGAACCTCTCACTCAGGAAATGAGGATATATGTTGTCAGGAATATCCACTCATCAGTACTCGTGTGTGTGTGTGTGTGTGTGTGTGTGTGTGTGTGTGTGTGTGTGTGTGTGTGTGTGTGTCCATGTGGGTATGCATGTGGGCATGAAGACTAGAGGTCAATTCTAAATGTCATTATTGAGTGCCTTCTTCTGTCGCACCCTACCCTTTTTGTTTGTTTGGATAGTGTTTCCCAGAGACCAGCAATTCAACTATCCTGGTGGGCCAATGAGGTCCAGAGATCCACCTGTCTCTAAACCCTTGCCCCAGTATTTGGGGCTTTTATGTAGATGCTGGGGATCCACACTCGGGTCCTCACACTTTACCAACTGAACTATCTCCCAGCGACCCATCAGTAGATTTTACCACAGCATCTCCAGCTCTTTGGGTAGAGCTTTAGACTTGTTCTTCACTGGACCCTCATCATATCCCCTTATTTGCAACACATAGTTGAAGGTGGAGAACCACCTTATTGATGGACCAAGACCATTTAGCTAATATATATATTATATATATATATATATATATATATATATATATATATCTATATAATGGAATCAGCCTTGAACTCTACTATCTGCCTACTTCCACAGTCCATGACTTTTGTGACTATGCTCTTGCCTGCATGCAGCACAGGCTCATCCATGTGGGGATGTAGTGGGGTGAGGGGCAAGGAGGGAGAGAATCATCTGGATTGTAACCTAAGGACCACCTCTCCAAACCAGTGGAGAACAACAAAAACTGTAGACTGAAGACATTGGCCTTTGTACCCACAGGGATCCAGAGGGCAGGTGATACAGCAAGAAAGGGGGGAACTGCACGGGGAACTGGTGGGAAAGGGGCAGAGGCATGTGCTGGAGCACATTCAATGTCATCCTGAATTAGATCATAAAAAGTAAGTGCTTTTTAAAAGCCGTTTTGCTCAGCAGGGGATGAGCTGTCAAGATGCCTGGTGATTCAGAGGCCTCGAGCCTCACTCACAACCAGCTTGGGAGGAAGAGGTGAGGATACTGCTGTGGGAAACAATGGTCCAGCTTCTCTGTTGTCTGCTTCAGGTTGAAGTGACCCAGCTGTCACTGAATTCCAGCTCAGTCATCCTTAGCTTTCCATCCCGTGTACCGGGCTCTTGTGATCTGCTGGAGCTGGCTTCACATCCCAGCAGGGCCACCCATCATGTGCTGTGTGACCTGGGAGATGCTAGAACATCTCTCAGCTGGTTCTACCCTCTGGACAGAGAAAGCATGAAGAGCTTATGTGCGGATTAAACGAGACAATCTTTGCACAGATTGTCTCAGAATGTGCTGTCTCCATTTTATTTATCGCCTCTATTATTGGCACGTGTTGGACAGTTTATGTGTGGGACTTCACAGAGAAGGGAAAGAGGGGCACACCTCCTTCCAGAGAACAACAGAGATTTCTGCTCCTTGCTACTAAGATAATCCTCCACTTCAGGGACAACCTCTGTAAGGGAATGTGTCTACATGATGGCTTCTGGCCAGTGGAATTCAGGGGTGTGGGTTGGGTAACAGACTCTACTTGAGGGTCTGGCAAATCAATACCTCCCATGTGTGACCCCTCTACCTTCTCACCCATCTGGGTGAGCTGTTTGGAGATGGCAAAGATGCTGAAAGCTGGGTCCCTGTGTGACTGTGGAACAGAGCCTTCCCGCCCTGGCTTCCTAGGAACTGCCTTGCTGTGTCAAGCTGCGGAGAACTTGGTGTTGTCTGTCATAACTCTTAGCCCACCCAGACTTTTACATTCAGCCAAACCACAATGAGTTTGGAACTGCCTGTGGCTTTAGACTGTTTAGATGTTGCATGAAATGGAGTGACAGGAGGCAGTCCCTACAGCCTTTCTTAGCTTAGACATTCCAGGCAGCTCAGTGCTGTCTAATATAAAAAAGAAAATACAGAAAGCCTTCTCCATAGAGCCTGATAGGTCTGTGGAGTCACCTGACTCAGAGAAGCCACTAAAGGGGCCAAGAGACAAGCTAGCACCACTTCCCTGAGGTCTGAAGGAAGCTCTGCCCTCGACTTCAGTGAATGACTCTCTAGTCTGCATTGGCTCAGCATTCTGGGGAGAGAGGAGGAGAATTTCTGAGGCTCAGGGTCATGTGAGTGCCCAGAGAGACTAAGCATGTGTGTGCCCAAGTGTGTGGGCTGTGGCTAAGTTGCTTTATAAATATTTATTTGTAGATGTTTCTTCTTTAACAGCTGTTGGAAGGGGTGTAGTCAGAGAAAGCTGCCACCAGTGCAGTGCTTTGCAGCCCCTCAGCAATGCTGATCTCTACACACACACACACACACACACACACACACACACACACACACCATCATCAGGAAATGCTCGGGCTTATCTCCTTGAAGACTGCCAGACTATTAGACAGTGTGTAGTATGTCATGTGTATAGAGTGTGTATGCCCAGTTGTGTAGAATTACAGGACCCTCCTGCCACATACAGCTTTTTACCTGGGTTCTGTGTCTTTATGCTTGTACAGCCAGCACTTTGCTGAGTCATCTCTCTAGCCTAGGAAGATGCCAAGCTTCTGCTCCTGCTGGGGGCTGTATGTAAGGAATCAAGTCAGTATATCTACATACATACCCACATCAAATTGTTTAGAACAAAGGACCTAACTGACTTGAACCACCTTTCATGCTGTTTACTGGGCCCTCTTTCCTGGGTGGACTTCACCACTGGTAAGCAAACCCCTAGTCCTGAAGGTCCACCTTGGGGATTGCTAAGAGAGTACCAGCAAGAACAGCTAGAGCTTGAACTTGGCTGGGACTTCATCTTCATATGCATGAAACCCTGGTGATGTCTAAAGAGAAGGTGTGGGGTGGGGGAGGTTCCCAACCTCTGCTTCAGGCCTTATAAATTTTAGAGGCTGGACAGAGGATTGGGCACCAATCCCCTCCTGGTATACTCAG